AGTATGACTGATCGTCTGATTCCAAACTGTGTCCACAGTGTACAGAGTACACATTAACCGAGGGCATCCGCGGGTCAAACAAATTGCCAGGCCCAAAAGAACAAGGGCTGTAACAATATACTCTCTCCTCAACTTATATCCTATGTGTACATAGCTCACTTTTACTTGTGCGTTTCACCAAACGGTCATGTGTAAATAAAAACAGAGCACTTAAAAACCTGAATCAACAGACGTTGGCTTTGAACGTCACGGTAGAACACAAAGGCACACGCCGAATAAAGTATACTTGCATTCCAAAGTGTCAGTATATTTTTCGACAGTAAATGGATTTTTTTTTCAAATTCTCTTTTTAAACACAGGATTTGAAGTGTATGATATGTCATCAATTAAGCTACAACCTCCCACATCGTCATGGTAACAGGAGAGTAACACTGAATGAATAAATAGTGGCAACAGCTGAACTCTGTAAACCTGTATCAGGCTTTGTTTTGTCTTTTCAAAGTACGGCGAAATGCGCGCATTTTAATAAATGGAATCGCTGTTGCTATTCAGATATTTAACCCTATATTGTCGGCTTATATGGGTTAAACTCACCTTTTATATTCTATTATTTGGATATTAAGAAGTTAATGAGCTTTCTAAATCAAGATCAATACTATATAGTGTGCTTAAACTTGTCACTGATAAAGTTCAACCAAGACCGAATCGAGTACGTTTTTTTTTTGTATTTCGCTGTATTACGGGAACATCTAATAAAAAAAAACGGTCAGGAGTACGCCCTCTATTTGAATCGTTGTTACTATCCTAACGTTTAGCTCTTCAAATCAATAAAGCTTGCTCGTAACTCGAAAAAATACAACCAGTTTAGATAAGTTGTGGTCTACAACAACCAAGTCTCCCGGTGTCACTTCTGTACATCCTCCGAGCAGCATTTTCGAAATTACAGAGTGATTGGAGCAACTGTCTTGGGAACTCTACTCATGAAATTGAGATTGTGACTTGGTCATCATTTTTATAACTCGTATGTGAGCTGGGGGCTATGCTATGTTGATTATAGAAGAGACAACACAAGACCGTCGACAGTTGTGGGAACTTCGCTCACTCTCACACACACGAACGCACATGTACACAATCAGGTCATAGTATCTCTTTTCAAACGCGCCACCAAAGGCCATTGTTTCACGATTTCCATTTGTATAGGCTTCGCAATAAATGATTAGACAGAACCTTACAGATCGGGAAGAACTCAATAATGTGCTAATTGAGAGAAACCGTTGCCCGGGTTACAAGCTAGTATTTGCAACTCGAGTACAATAACTAATACTGACCAGGCTCACAATTATAGTACAGTATAAAGCTGCAGTGGGTGTTTTTTTGGGGGGATGAAATCACCGTGAAATATTTTGGCGTTATTGACCAGATGGGACAGTTGTGGTGCCTTGTTTAACTGTAATCCCGACTCAAGATTATACAACACAAGGAACTCGGCAATTGGCGTAGCAGCGCGAGATGGGACGGTTCTTTCTTCAATACCGAGGTGTTCAATGGTGACACGAATCATGTCGCTGGAAAAAAATCCGAATAAGTGTGTCTATCTTATTTTATCAAATCCGCGTCAGGTGCTTGTAATTGCAATAACGTGTGAAGATAGCATGACAGCATTTAATAAGTGCGTACCGGCTACTAGTACAGAGAATGATCGGCGATTCAAATAACTTTGTCAGTCCAAGTTCATTTTCCACCTCGTGTATGAATGTACATATTATAAAAATCGAACTATAATAATCTATATTAATACTATAAGCTCGACACAATACCCCGATGTATATAGCGGATTTGTGGTGGCATCTGCTGTCTTCGTGTACGACAACTGTACATTAGCTTTTATCAACAGGTGGTCGGTAGTCATAACCACCGCAATGAGAGTTCCTTGCCGTGTGTATCCCCCACTGGGCGAATACCATTTTGTCCGCAAGTCAAGGAGGTCATTATGCACGAGAAGTCGAACATGTTTCAGCAACATCACTGGTGTGAATGCGCGTTTGTGCATTCCGACGTTAGGAAAAGAAACAAAAAAACACTGATACTTGATTTTTAAAAAGACGGTAAAATAACTCTCGAAACTAATAGATCTGTGATTGTGGAATCGCTCGTCGTGTATTGTTTTACTTTAGAGTCGGGAGTTAATCTATGAAGGTTGAGAAAACTGTATTCTCAGGAAAAGAAAATTGACCCATGACCTACTAGGATGATCGATGAGATCGGACAAACAGTATTTCGTGTGCATTTCTCGATGTCATCGTATCAATTAAATTGCTGATCGTGTTCGGCGAAACAGAAAACAATGACCAAGGCCATACCGTGTGGTGTAGCAGTACAACTGATGAAATTTAAGCTGGTATTTTTTTTTTTTTTTACAGAAAAACTGTAATCTTCTATTTCAAGCAAACGTTGTTATTACGATTAGAAAAAAAATAAGGGACATACTGAATGACCACACTATTTAATCGGGATGGAGTAGAAATATTTTGCCCGCGATATGACTAGCGATTGGGGTTTTTACTAAAAGAAAAATGTAATGAAAAGCGAAATAGATGACATAAAAGAAAAAGTTGAATACAGTTTACAGTATTGATTTGGCACCGCTGCACGTAGCGGCCGTACGTTCAACTCAACCTCAAAGATGCAATGTATGGCCCGTACCCGTTTCAAAAGGCAGAACACATTCGAAAACTATTACTAGTATGTTCAAGAAAGTTTTCTTAGAAACATTGGCGTCCAAGTGATTATGCCTGATCTGTATGTCCCTTTGTTTAACAGTAACAGTTTACATGACAAAGGAACTAAACAACGGAAATTAAAATTGTCTTGTAGAGTGATTTCCACTTGGTGTATTCCGTGTTAGATACGTTGCGTGCATCCACATGTTCAGGGATCTTTTATTAAGATACGTCGAATACGCGCCAGCTAATCTCATTTGATATACCGTGGTAAACGCACCGCCAGGTGAAATGTCGTCAGATGTATTGTCACGTACGCCACTGTTCCAGTGCCCACCGTTGAAACTTGCAACTGACCGACTGACTATACTAATTTGAATAAGCCATTAACCTTTTAACTTAATCGGACATTTTTTCAGGGTGCGAGTCCGCGGACAAAAAAACCAAATGCAGAATTAGCCTGCGAATTACTGCACAAAATTTGAAAATACCTACGCCAATCTCAACAGGTGTTTGGTTTCAAACAAAACCGCCAACTCACGCAAGTGAAGTCACAGTGCTTTTGTCATATACGGAAAAATAACACGGAGAAGGTCAGAGGGGTCTGAATTGGCTTTTTCAAAACGTTACCTCTTTACGAACAAGGGGAATCTAATAGGGGTCTATCGAATGCCGGTATCCCATAGCAACAATTGTGGCAAATGTAACGCCATGCATCTCAACAAGAGAAAATCGGGCAACACAAACAGCGCGTATACGAGTACGGGGTTCTCCCCCAACTACAAAAAAATCTAATCTTTAAAAATAATATGCTCAGTTATTTTCAAGCTTTTGGTTAAATTTGTATACTGGTGGCCCGTCACTGACTATACAATACTGCTGGGAACATTGATAGCACACCTGCACTGTCCCCCGTCTTTGCATATTTTACAACAGACTGGAGTGTTTCAGGAATTAACGAAATAAAGAAGTGTCCATATAATGTAGGGGAAAAAAATCACACCCTACAAAATGTCGCTACTGTAAAACGGTACGCAACAATGTTGAGGAAGCATTCAACCAAAACCCGTCAGTAAACGCGTGGACACTGAAGCAAAATACGCAAATGTGCATAATTCTGAGCAAGTCCTACGTAACCCACAATTGTACAGCATCTAAGCTAATATCTGTTCATGTCCCTGTCAAAATACATATAATTTGTCCGACCCCAGGTGCCGAAGATAGGGTCCCCGTCTCCAGGTTCACTGTTCATATCAATCAGTTTCCTTACCTAGTTTCGCTAGTTCCTCTGCGATCGACTCCACGCGTTGTTTTTTCTTCTTGACTAAAAAGGCTCTCGGCATCTTGGGCGGTATTGGCAACGGTAATTCTTGTATGTATTCCTGAAATCCACTGATAACAACAGAGAAAACAAATGACGGTAAATATTACTGCGCAATCATGATAAGACGAAGGTCCGTTGAGTATTTCGCAGATGGAAAGTGTAAGAGACCACGAGCTTGCTGGCGTATACTGAAACTTTCCTCGCCAAAAGCTCTTATAAGATCTCTGGTTCGCTTGACTCGCGTACAATTACCGAGTGCGCTTTGTACTAAAACAACGACCAATAACGAGCCAAGAATGGCCCACTTGATATGCAGAGTGAATTTGAAAACAAAAGTGATTTCGGGCAGGGAACGGCACTGGTTGGTCCATAGAACTGACGCATCTATTCTACAGCATCTCGGGCTTACCTGCGCTACAAAAGGTCAAAAGTTCAGTCTAAAGATGTTCCTCGTAGAGTTGATGTTGACACAGTGACCGCCGTCACCGCTCGTTCAATGAACTACTACCGACTATCAGCGCATGTACAAGTTTGTGATTCCAGCGAAGCGCGCCTTACGCTAAATAAGTCTTCCCCCTTTCAAACACTAATTACAAGTCCTTGATTGTGACACATACCAATCCGATAAGCCAACTGGTTGATAATGGACCGTACCATTGACAATTAAGGGGTGTTTTGTATTCTCCAATCATACACTATCAACTACTTTTGCACATGGTATCAGTTTAAAAATGCTGAAAAAGTATGTGGATATAACTATAGGAAATAATATAATAGTAAACAGTGCGTTTGTTTACAAGTGCACATTATTGATAATGCATTTGGCACGCACGAGTAATGTGGCAACCCGTCTTTTCCTAGCTGCCATCCCTAAAATTGTCGAATGATGTACCGGACTTTCGATCTCATTAAATTCATAGTGTACTTTAATTTAAATTAGTCACCGAGACAAAAATCTGGGGCTCATGATGTCGATTTCAAAATTCCCCTAATTATTGACTTGCGACCCGAGGCTTTCCTTCTATTTAGATTGACCGGCGCGCGCTTGGTGTAATCATGGAGCGAGGAAAGCTCCTTGGTGTAATACTTCATCGCTGGTTTCAACTCATATACCGTTAAATTACGCAAACAAAATAGTTCCCATTAATCCCTCTTCAGTCTGTTCAAGCAGTACCGCTGGGGGGGGGGGTCTCGTCCTTTGTTGGGTGATTCAAAGTAGCTTAACCAGCATCGGCCGCAATTGTTTGTGTGTGTAAATCTCACGAACCAGTGCAAGTGGTGTTTATTCTGTAACCCTATTAAGTTTCTGGGTTTTGTATTTTCTTTTGAAAAAAAAATAACGAGTTTTAAAGTAGCCATTAATCTTTAGCAACAAAAACAAAATAAGAATAAGTTTTCCTAATATGTTATTCTGTGTAAAAGTTGGTTACGTGAATGGTACCTTAGTATATGCAAGAGCTAGAATGCAGCAAATAATACAAAAAAGATTGTGTGGGACTGTTTTCACACCACTGTATATAAAAAAGGGCTGGATCCACGGTGACGACCATGTCTATCATTCAAAAAACAATTAACAAGCTGTGCTAATTTGATTTTGTCAGTTTGGACTGTGAATTGAGACGGTGTTAATGGCTGAAGTTGTTCACAAAATGAACAAGTTCAACTCGTATGAGAGTTGGAAATCGAATAATGAAACAGATACACGTTATAGCACGATGTTATTAAGCGAATGACGCAAAACTGCAATTTATTTTTACCTATCACATTTGAGAATTAGGATTCATTGGCATCGGTCCAAAAAACGGTAAAATAAAGAAATACACCCAAGTGAGAAAAGGGTGCAATATACTGTCGTCGTACAAACTCAAGATATACCAGTTTTCATCGATCGATCGGTTTTGGTACTACTATAAAAGTCGTTATTCACACACACACAATTAACAATGTCTATCGATTGTGCAACAAACTAAAAAAAAGGTTCGTTGGGGTACATTATATGATGAGCATTAACTATTTCGTAAAAATCGATCTTTATAGATCTATTGAAAGTAGTTTTATATGGGAGTATTTGTGACATCGTAACACTATGTTTGACGAGTGTGCTATCTTCGTTACTAAGCTACGTGGCGTCCATGCAAGTGTCTACTTGCTCACATGGTGGGGTAGTTTGTGTCACCTGCGTAGACGCAGGTACATCACTCGTGGATACTTTTTTTGTAAAATAAATTGTGTCAATCGCTCGCCAGTTAATTATTGAAATCACGTACGCTGTTACGCTGTACCGTTTCACACGACATTTGTTTTGTTTCATCACTGGGTTACCGGGAAACAGGCTGGCGATATTGTACTGTACAATCGCTGGGAATCTACTTGTATTGGTAGTTGATAAGTTTTTTTTTTGTACAATATGTGATTTTTGTACGCATCAAGTTGAATACATTTCACTGGTTATATTGAGCGGTGCTTTACTACTACACAGACACCAGCGGCAGTTACCTCATTCGTACATAACACTTAATAATCCAATAGCTCTCGCGCAGAGCGTCCATCGCGATTGGGCACATCAACTTATCATAAATTACACAATTCTAAACTATTTAACACCAACTTGCGACAACCAAGATCCGGTGATTTAGGCAAAGACAACCAGTGCGGAAATGACCACAGAAAAGATCGCATTCCAGACAACAATGGCGAATGACAGCCAAATAAAGCCAGATACGATGATCAAATTTATGATCAAATTCAAGGATATCAAGGTGGCTCCCTTATTACTTAAACTGGACTGAAAAAAACGACAATGTCCACGCAATAAAGGGTAACTTTATGACCCCCAAACGGTTTTTTCGCCGCGCCCGATCGTAAATACTCAACGGATGACAACCCATCGATATTGGATTAACAAGTTGTTAATGGATAGTGTGTCTATTTCATGCCACAGATGGACAATTGCCCAAATAAAATGGACATACCGCGTTAGGAAACTACGCGATTAGAACATGGCAAAGGAGGGCACACTTATACGTATACCGTGTGACGGGAAAGCTATTACAAGCAAAACAATCAGTATAAATAGTCAGCTTATCAACAAAATCTGGCAAAACGAGTCAAATTTTCAAAATATTCGACGATTTTTAACAATTTGACGGAATTATTTGAACTTGAACAACGAGCGAAACAAATTTATTTTTTCAGATTTTTGTTTTAGCTTGAAAATTTCCTTGTCTGTTGAATAAAAAAATAAGGTTAAAGGGCGGTCGGTGGTCGTCGTGCCGCATCCTGTTCGATATGGGACTCATAGCGACGTATACAACACGCGTGTAAAATACATTGTTTATTTACATGAAATTCGAACACGCGCTGCGCGACGACCACCGCGCTTGAAGGATATTGTATATCCAGTTATATGTTGAGAGTGGTGATAGAATTGATGGTCAAATTTACCGGACAAAACGAAAACTATGACGCGAGTTGACTCTGACGTTGATGCTGGATACATGTTATCCATGCTATCAGCTCGATTTCATAAAACAAATCACGCCGATTATAAACTCACAAGTACGAGTGTGTTTCTCTCAAGTTGAACGGTGACAGCTTCTCGCACACACGGAGCCGTTTTGTATCAGAGATCAATTTCGTCATGGTCATAAACAAACTCAAAGCACCAAAAAAGATGGACACTGTTTTTTTGAATGACTCCAACGTACCAGCAATTATTTTAAAACATGTGGCGGACAAAGGTGAAGTAATAGAAGTTGGGCAACTAGAAGGTCGCTCCAACAAGGACCTCTTTTTGTTCTTTTCAAAAAACGGCCCGATTGTAAGGAGGAAAAAATAAAAAAACTTCCGCCTTCTTATAGAATTGTAAAGGGCTGATGACGACGATGACAAGAATGTAAGTCGTGGAGTAGTAAGAGCAATAATTTGTTGCCGCCAAATTTGGATCACAAATTCTCGTCTGCCACTTCGTCTTCAATAATGTATATACATCTATTACTGGATGAAGCTTGGAAAATGCAAGTCCAGTCTGGGATAATTAAATATGCGAGATGTGTTATCCCCATCCCCTAAACGTTCGAATAATAAACATTATATTCCGTCGCGGTACTAACATGGCCCATAATATTGTTCATACGAGTATAAGAAAAGAACGGTTTTCGGTGCAAAGTGTAGAGGAAGCTACAAAACAAACGGCAAATTTAGTTTTGACAGTTGGCCCACACGTAAAGATGGACGTATTGATCGTTTTTTACAGTGGCGACATGAATTGTAACTGTCGGTCCAAAAAACAAATCAGTATTTTGTAGAATAAAAACAAATATTTGCGATCCAATTTTCTTGAATACATACTTCAAGTGTTGAAACTGAAAGGCCAGAAGAAGAAATCTTACCTATGATATGTATATTGTGCTCGTTGCTAATCTTGTGTGTTTCTTGAAAAATCACCGGGAGAATGCCAGTCTGTCGTAGCGTCCAAGATAACCACGACAAGCTACAGTCCTGTCGTTGCTAGTAGTGTATACGCAAAGGGATGCGTTGACTTTTACCCCGTTTCTACTAAGACTGCTATGTCACGTGCGTGGACCAATCGATCTGCTGCAAACTGACCAATCGTCGCCTCAAAGCTCAGTGTCCAGCTGTCTGAGGGGGTATTGGGGCAGGGACTTCTTTGTTAATCTGAATTTGTAATTAAATTCACATGCTATTGTCTTTTGTTTTGGGCACTCTTTTTTGAATGGAAACGAATAACCGGTGTGACGTATCAATTAGCATTCTGAATGCAACAGACAACGAGTCATTCAATTGGCTAAGTCATCTCAGCTGCGTTGATCGGTACTTCAGACAGCATTCTTTTCTTTAGGCCCAACATTTTTCCTTGACTTTGAACAAAATTCCACCCATTGGCAGTTTCAATTCACAGAACAATACAATTCCCCCCGGCGACGAACAAGAATATGGCCTTCTCCACATAAGTCGATGTCCATTACCGTTGACCGTTTATATCAGT